GAGTAAGCATTTCTCTTTCCTCGTCTGCCACCGCAGTCACATTGAAGCCAAGTGCTACATACGCCTCTCATATTTCCTCCCTGAGAATGCTACCTGCGCAAACGCTGCCAATGAGAGCGCCACTGCCCCCTAATGTAGTGGAGGTGCAACTGCACGTTATTTTAGGACAGTAAAAAAATAAAAAAGCATGTTCCCCGAGGTCAAATGCGCCCCGCTTGACGGAGCCTCGCGCCCCCCACTATTTGAGAAACACTGCTGTACGGTAATACTGTACCACAGGGGTTTACAAAATTGGCATTTGCAATGGGCCATTATAGTATTTGAGTCTACCCTTTGTTAATGGCAAGAAGTAAGGAGCTGTTTGAATGTCTGCTGGTTTTGGTGCGTATGGTTTGACTGCGGCGAACTAAGGGAGTAGCTGGAAGAGGTGGTGGCCGGTGTGTATGTATGTACAGTATATATGCGTGTGTGTGTGTGTGTGTGTGTGTGTGTGTGGGGGGGGGGGGGGGGCAGGGGAAGTTTCCATGCCATTGTCTTTTTTCATTCAGCATGTAAGCAATCAAGAGTGGGTAGGGTGGTATTTATTTTTCCCGCAGTTCTAACGGTCCATTGCAGTTGGATTTTGTACTTTTTTGCGGTGAGACCAAACCAAACTGTGATTGAAGAACACAGGAGGGATTTGATGACTGCTGTATAAAACTGTTTCGCAACTCTGGTGGGAAGCCATGCTTTCTCAGCAGCCTCAGGAAGTACATTTTCAGCTCTAACTTTTTCAGAATAGAGTTGATGTTGGCCACCCACTTCGGTTCCTGAGAGACTGTGATTCCCAGAAACTTGAAGGTCTCGTTTTTCAGGGCATTTAGACAAACTGAGCAGCAGCTGTGGTGAAGGTTTGACCAGCTTTGCACAAGCTTTGCACAAGCCTGTTAACAATCCCTCATTTAAATCAGATGTGTTGGAGCTAGACAAATATCAAAAACAGAATGGATAGGGGCTACCAAGGGCCATACTTGGAGAGCCCTGGTTTAGGAGTAAAACACTGGAGAGAAGAGGCATCGTTGGGACTCCCTGGTACTGATGGTGCATGTTGAGCGTATTCATCCACCACCCACCCATCCAGCATCACCTGATGCAGGCCTGAGGATTTCAGAAATGAACAGAAACTGTTTTTCAGTTCCTTTAGATTACCTAAGGGAAAACCACTGTAACTAATTTTGGGTTCCATAAACGTTCATCATGGGAACCCATTTTTCTATTTTGACTGATATTCAAAATCAAGAATTCTGATACTCAAAAGTGTAATATTTAAAGGGTAAATGTTTGACAACTATGCATTAACAATGAACATAATTACATCAGCAGCTGTGTACTCCAGGTTTATTCAATAAAATAAATGGATCAAAATATGTAGTGTAACACTTTTTTATGTACTCAAATGGCATCATGAATACAGCATACCACAAAATCTGGCCATATACCATGGGCCACAAGTAAACCTGACACTGTTAACATGATTATGTGTCTGTACCATTTATGTAAATAAACATAATATCAATGGCTACTCACCTCCTTTATTAATACAAAAGCATGTAATAGGAATTGAATGATTAAAATCATGTGATGAATCTTTGAAAAAAAATTACCTTATTCCTATATATAGGCGTATAGTATTGATATGGCTTGACGTCCTCTTTGCAACCCCAAGCACTGTGTAATCTACTATCAATTTGACCAAAGAATCTACCGCACGTCATCATTAGGCCTACTGACAGTTAACATTAGTATTACTACACCTTGTGACAAATTTTTATTTTATAGATGAAGTTACCATGTCTAAAACTAGTAAATTATAGAATAACTAAGACTTTGTCATAATATTTATCATAGCTATTAGTCTCTTAATCTAATGACCAACTTCAAATACTTGCCTCGGAATCGTGCCTCCCGTCGTATTTCTCTTTCATGTTTTGTGCACACATCACACGTCAGCTTGGTAATACGCCCTTCTTCGGATGATTTGAAAGAAAAATCCGACTGGCATTCCCATTTCTTAAATGTAGTAACTAATACACTTTTCGGTGTTTTTTTCACCGCCATCTCGATCCATCATCCACACCCTTTCTCAGCGTGCGGACTAAAATAACCTGCATGAGCACATGATGTTTCCTGCCCCCCCCAAACCCCACTTAATAAAAACAAAACGAAAGTAGAATAGAGAAAAACACTCACACACCACACCACAAACACACATACAGGCACAGTGAAATCGCATTGATCACACAGGAGAGATTCTATCGTGTAGTCCACAAGTGCGCAGTGATTTTGATGGGAAACAATTTTTCGGTACCGTACAAATGATCCCACGGAAACGACGCGCTACCGGAAATGGTTGTTACTGTGAAATCCTCAGGCCTGCTGATGTGTCCTGCCTGTCAGGAAGCACTTGATCCACTGGCAGATGGATGATAGAAGACAAACTGAGCTGGATAAGTTGAAGCCAGGCGTGATGGTATTGAACGCAGGGCTAAAGTCCACACACAGGATCCTTTACATAGGTCCCTGCGCTGTGGAGGGGCTACAGCAGTGGTTCTTAACCTTTTTAGAGGTACTGAACCCAACCAGTTAATATGCACATTCACCGAACCCTTCATGAGTGAAAAATACATGCTTTTTTTTCAAATAAATTCAAGATATTACAAAAAACACATTTATTAAAAACAGAAAAAAAGTTAATAAAATTTCAAGAGATAAGTATACTTTTTTTTTTTTATTAATTGTACGACGTACTATCATGACAGTCACACGTTAACGCGAACTAAATTTCCCACAGCACTGATTGGACAAGCAATGTCGTGATTATCTGCAGCCAGTGATGACCAAGCGGGCGTGTCATAACTAATAAACATTGAGTCGCGTGTGTCTTACCCTCCGTGGCAGAGGCTCCGTCGAACCCCTGAGACTGACTCACCGAACCCCTGGGGTTCGATCGAACCCAGGTTAAGAACCACTGGGCTACAGGATGAAATGCAGGCACTGTCTGGGGTGTGAGTGAAGGTAGATGCTGGTGGGGGTGGGATAGTCTGGAGAGTGGAGTGAAGGTGTCCTTTTTAAATCTGCAGTAGAACATGTTTAGATCGTGGGCCAGTCCCTTATTGTTCACTGATTGGTGAGATGGTTGCCTGTAAATTGTAATTTATTTCAGGCCATTCCACATGGACATAGAGTCATTAGTGGAAAACGTTTTTCTGTCTTTCTGCATAGCTGCTCTATCCTCTGTTGGCTGGTTTCGGGCCTGTTCGTGCAATGCCCTATCGCCGCTTCTAATGGCGGCCTCTGGCTTTTCCAAAGTCAGAGTTTGTCACGGAACCCTAGCTTGTTTTGCCGAACTTGGGGAAGGTCTTTGTTGGGACACACATGCCCTCACAGGAACTGATGTATGATGTTAGTGTCGCTGTATTTGTCCAGGCTGCAAGTTGAAGTTTCAAATACACCTCACCGTAGTCAGTGCAGTCCAAAAACATTCCTGTCATGCCAGCTTTCTTTCATCGGCCCACCTCCTCGTAGTACTTACAGACGGTTTTGCACGTTTAAATCTGATGCAGTATTATTTGTTAATTGAGTATGCACCTTTATTTTGGGATTAAGTGAATTGAACAGTGATCAGACAAGCCCAGCGCTGCGTGGGCACAAGACCGGGATGAGTCCTTCAGTGGCATGCAGCAATGGACCAGAGCGTTGCATTCTCTAGTGAAACAATCATTGTGCTGATTATATTTTTTTTGATTCTCTCCTCTTTCATCTCAAACTGCTTTAAACAACAAAGCGTTTGAGGGAAAAGTGGTTAGGACTGCACGACTGTCCGTGTTTTATTGTTATGTGTTGTGTTTATTATGACTGCACGACTGTCCGTGTTTTATTGTTATGTGTTGTGTTTATTATTTTACTTTATGTTAACTGTTTTGTTAAGTGCTTTGTTACAGCTGCTGCTGTTGTGAAAGCGCCATATAAATCAGGATGTATTGTATATCTGGCAAGTTCATGTTTAAGTTGTGCTCTGGTAAAATCATCCAGGATGATGAGGGCTGATTCTGTGCGCTTAAGCTAAAGTTGACTTGGTCAGACAGCATTTGTAGCGCTATGCTCATATTAGTTTGTGGTGGGATGTAAACATCGGCAAGCACAAAGGACTCACGTGGTGAGTTGAATGCCTTACAGTTCACAAATAGCATCTGTAAGTCTGGGCTGCAGTATGTGTTGAGCTCCATGACATCTGCGCTCCATTTCTCGTAAATATAGACGCATATTCCGCTACCTTTTAACTTCCTTGATAGTTTCCTTGACGCGGTCCACCGAGTGAAGAGGGGAGCCAGGTAGGTGTAGCTCGGTATTCGGGATGCATTCGCTGAGGCAAGTTACAGTAAATCAGTGCGGAGCATAACAACATATGATTGTTGTTCCACAGTATGTGTAACATTCAACAAGTCGACAAATTTACTCCAGATTACCTGGGGCTGAGACGTGAGCATATAAACCTGTGCTCTTAAACAGCAGGGTGGCTCTGAGGCATAATTTATGTTGCTATAGTAATGTGACAATAGCAGACACGCTACATGGATGTGGTGAGAAATTGTTACTTGTGTGTGTTTAAAATAAAAGACACAATTTAAGATTTCCTCACAATCGGGGCATCATTATGTATCAATAAAGGATTAATTATTTGTATAATTAATGGCAACTTAAGTTTACTGCCTGGAATGGACTCATATGCCTCTGTAGTGTCACCACGTCTGTTTTTGGATTCATTTTGAACAGATATAAAAACCTCTTGAAATCAGTTATTCATTTGAAGGATGCTACATTTGAAAAGTTTTAGGCTCTGAATCTTAGAGGTTAATAAATTTGATTCAAACACACTCAATGCATTACTCTCAAAATCTACATGGGAATTGGAAGATGTACAGTATGTCACAAGGAAAACTAACTTCTGTGAAAGAAGGAGAACTTAATAAGATAAAAAAGATTAAAATGAACTAAAAATGAACAATCATCAATTTATGATGGAACTTTTTGAGCTGAATTTGGCACTCAATGGTGAAATACAATATCCATTGTCAGTCTCTCTCTGTACCTTTTTAGAAATTTTCTTCATGTATGAGGTATTCACAAACAAATATTTTAATTCACTTTAAATGAATAGTCCTCTTGACAGTATCAGTCAAAATGAAGCATTCTTTATCGATCTGTTTTTTGATAATTGTTATTGATTGTGTAGGTGGTCATGAAGTTTTGGTAAATTATGAATAACTTCGGGCTTGAATGGATCTAGTTTAATTTCAATAGAGGTAGGCCTTGTAAGAAAAAAAACAGTTTTGTTGACTTGAAGTGTCAAGAGTCAAATTGCCCTGTGCCAAAGTTTACATATTTCTATAACCTGGATGACAGAGAATCGACACAGACACCGCCTTTTATGGTACATAAAAGATAACAGTAAGGTAACCTTATTGGTGCAGAAGATCAAAAATTAACAAAATGAAAAAAAGACTAAACTGTGGATCTCTTGTCTTGTATGGCTGGAAGTTTATACAGTAAAAAAGGTTTTCCATTTTCTTCCCCTTTTTTAAGTATTCATAACACTGAATGTTTTGGATTGTCAAGATGTTTTTTATATCTCGAAAGACAAACTAAGAATAATATATACTTTGAATTTTTCAAAAATGTGTGTATTATTTTGGGAAACCAAAACATTCATCAAAAAGTTAATAAATAAATAAAGAGACTTTTAAATTAAGCGTGGTGGTGTTTGCTTAATCAAGCATGTGATGACCTGAGACTGTTTTTCTACTTAAGGACCCAAAATGACTTGCTGTGAAAAATGAATAATAATATTTAGTCTTGCAAATTGATATTCGGGTTCCTAATTATTGTGAAAAATCATACCATGAGCGATATTTACCTATTTGCAGATTTTAGTTGTGCATCAAACTGGTATCGATTTGTACAAATCAGGAGTCAAGAAATAGCTCTCCATTTCAAAAAGGTTGGTGACTCTGTCGTATACATTGTGTAATAGCACACCACTCAGTAATAATTTTACAGTTTAACCCCACCGAGTCCCAGGGACTCGCTGATCAGAAAAGTATGAGTCCCATTTGCCGAAGTTTTTTTTTTGTTTGTTTGTTTTGACTGAGAAATTTCCTTGCGTCCCAAAATCGACTGGCTGACACCACTACAATTAAAGTTGCACAATACATTACATTTTTTTAATGAGGAGGCATGTTCAAACTGGTCAATTGTATTTCGTGGTCAAACTGATTATGCCAATATTATTTCCATTAGAACAAGATACCTGATGCTGAGCCTCAGTGTGATCAGGTTTCAGCTCAAGCAGGACGGTCACTGTGGAATGAATGCATGACCTCTGGTGGATCAAATGAATTCATAATTGATGTGCAAGACTACATACCATTCAGTAAGTAAAAACTCACCAAATGGCCAATACACCAATTATCCTGCATTAAAGTATATTTAACCTCAGGGAATTCTCGAATCATGACAGAGTTCTGTTCCAATGACACATTGTGACCCAATAAAAATTCATGTGGTGTCCGAGTGTGGTTGAATCCTCACAATGGAAGTTCTGTGTGATGATTAATTCTTACGATGCTGTACAAACCAGTTCATTGTGCGTTCTTGTATCTATCACACAAGTGACATATAATATTAGGAGGTTCCGTCGTAAACACAATGTGTCATCGTTCGACGTGTGCCATGGACCGAGCATGCCCTGGATAAGGAAAAATAATTTTTTACGTCTTTTTAAAAGACAATGCTGTGGTTTTTACATTGTTTTTCAAATTATAGTGCATGTAAGATTTAATTTATAAAACACATTTGAAGTTTTTTTTTTTTTTTTTTCTGGAGACATTTTTGTTTTTGGGTACATTGTTTTCTGTTTAGGTCACTGATTTTGATCTCATGTAGGTTTGATAATATGTTTTCCAAGACAAATTACGTAACTCATTTAATGCTATAATGTAAACATACCTTTGCAAAAATCCTATAATTTAGTGCAAAAACGTATAAATACGTTTTGGCAAGTTGGCAGGAGTGGCTTTGATCCGATCTTGGTCCACACACAGTGTAAGTGGGTGCGGAGTGTGGTCCAGCGATCCTATATTGCGAGGTGACCTGCGGAAGCAGTGTGGTGTTGAGAACATGGGTAAAGTCTACAAAGTCAAATCAGAAAGTTCATCGTCATTCTTGACGAACCCTCACACACGCATACAGGCACACGAAGACACACACACACACACACACACACACACACACACACACACACACACACACACACACACACACACACATTTTAGTACAGTGGTACCTCTACTTACAAAATGAATATGTTCTTGAAAAAATTTCTTAATACTGTACTTACTAGAAAACTGCAAAACGGGTTTTCCATGTTAATGCCCTAATCCGTTCCAAGATCCCCAAAATTCTGAAATAAATGTTTTATAAAGGATAAAAATGCATCAAAATATATAACAAATATATGTTACAATTAGACTATTGCACAATTAATGAGAGTTGTGTATAATGTATAAAACAAAGAAGAAAGAATGAAAATGATGGTCATTTAATGTTTAACTGCGTCCTCATTGTTTTTCGCCTTCTTATGTTCATATTGTCTCTCAAAAGTGGTTTTTGCCTGGCGTTTTGTAAAGAACTGATCCAAGGACGTTTACTTTAGTCGGCTTTTAACAATCCTTCGAAAACGTCCAAGGCAAACATCAGCAGAGTGAGCAATCGCCCGACTGGTGAACACTTTTTCTGGGTGATTCACATTTACGTAAAACTATCGGAACACCTCATGACCCAAGGGGCGAATGATGAGCATGCTGCATAGCGTATCTATCTATCCCTCTACACTAGAGGTAAGATCGGGCCGCTTGAGCCCGAGCCCGACCCAAAATTCCGGTCGAGTCGGGCCTAAAATGTCAATCATTGCTTCGGGTTCGGGGCGGGTCGGGCTTCTCTTTCGCTGACTTTTTTTTTTTTGTTTCAAGGCCGTGAATAGTTTTGGCCACAAGAGACCGTGGTTCGCAAAAAAACAGAAGTCGCCTCATCACAACACGTACTGTACTAAACTCTTGCAATGACAATTCAAAGAACTCCTTCTAATCTCTGTCGAGTATCCACCCGTCATTGTTCGTCTTTGTCTCTCTGCTTCTCTCTCTGAAAGTGCCGCGCTAGATTGTTAAGGACGTACTGCTGCTGTGGTTTACGGCCCAATTTTCAACCCGTCAAAATGACGGACGGCCTTAAATGTTCCCCGTCCACTCTTAAAAAAAAATCCGTCAATGATGGAAAATTGTCGGTTAATGTAACCTCTTCAGAAACAGAAATATAAAAGATGTAAATGTTTATACAGTCTTGTTTAACTTAGATTTCGTTACAAAAGACAGGCTTTGTTATCAGAAATCACCCCTTCTCCTCCCGAGTCCTCACAAATAAAATATGAAATCTCGGGTTTGCTTCGGGCTCGGGCTTGCAAATCAAGTTAAGTGATCGGGCTCGGGCCGGCTCGGGCTTAAATACCCTCGGGCCGGGTCAGGTTGGGCTCGATTTTTTAGGACCGATCTTAGCCCTACTCTACACATATAGACACATACATAGATGTCCCTCTTAGCCAATGGGATGCCAGGATGATGCTTGGTAGTACTACCAAGCATTGGCTACGTAGCCAATGGCAGAGCAGCTATAAGTATGTTGGGCTCAGGAAATTCGGAGGTGCGAGTAGCAGCCTATACTGTATTTTTACCTTTCGTATCTTGAAATTTCTTTCAGAACAAGAGGTAATATTTTCCTGTTGAGGCGTTTCGTAAGTAGAGGTACCACTGTACTACAAGTAATGAACTTAGTGTCCATGTTTCTAAGTTGAAATTATTGTAAATCGAGGTAACGTGTCACATCGAAATGCAGTTTATCCGTTCCAAGCCCAAAATGTTGTTTACATTTTATGCATGTTATTTATTCATTCATTTATTTACTTACTTTATCATCAGTGTGGTTGAAACTAGTGAGGAGGGGAGACAACAGCTCCTCCACTGAGTCTCCTTCCAAAATTATATATCAATCTTATTCTGTTTTTTCTTTTGTCTTTCTATTTTCTATTTTTTTAACACACAGAAAAAAAGAAACAGGACAGAGAAACATGTCTTTTTGCCATGTTAATCAGAAACCTGCTGCTGTCAATCACGAAAGCTTTCTGTTGGCTGCTGTGGCGATATATATTTTCATTTTCAATCACATTTTCTGTTACTTTTCTTCTGCTAAAGTACAGTTCGTAATCCATTCGAACTGATTTGGCATTTGGTGGCTAAACATTAAACCAGACAGTAGTCACGCAATTGGGCTAAGAGTCAAGGCCGTAATACAATACATACTCACAAAAAGTGAGGGATATTTGGCTTTTGGGTGAAACTTCAGGATGAGCCTAAAATGCATTCCGACCTTTACAGGTGAACTGAATGTGACCTTCTCTAAACTTTTAAATGCACGATTTGAACTATTCACAGTTTCAGTACTTTTTGCAGCAGTTTCTGCTCTAATGATGACTTGAACAGCAAAATTCACAACATGCATTTGATCCTTGAATTGACCAAAAAATGTCCTGGTTCAAATAGAGCTAGTGTTTAAATAGTCATCCTCATCATGCTGTTCACATTTTGACATCATGAGACCAAGACGACACCTAACCATGGATCAACAGTACCTTGCCATTGGAAGATAGAAGTACTGGGCTCAGCATGTCACAGTGTCATCAGCAGGTTGCAACAGAGATACTGAGATCCCGGAAGAGTCACAGAAAGATGTAGAAGTGGACGTCCTTTGGTCACATCCCATGCTGATGACAGCTACACTGGAAACAATGCCCTGAGAAAATGGATGACGAAAGCCACTCAACTCCGGGCATGTTTAAGGGATGTGAGAGGCACCCAAGTGACACGCCAGACCATGCGAAACCGTTTACATCAGCGTGGTCTGCATGCTAGACAATCTGCAAGGGTACCTGACCACACCACCGCCTGCACTTTCTCCAGACCTGAATCACATTTAAAACCTGTGTGATTAGCTGAGCCGCCATGTAAAAATGTGAAACTCTGCATCAAATGAGGAAGAACGGTGGGATGCAATGCCTCAGCAGACATTGTCGACTTGTGAACAGCATGAGAAATCGTTGGTCCTTGGCAAGCTGTAATGACAAAGGGCACATGATGAGTTATTGAGATGTTGAATTTTTTTGTTGTGATGTACCCACCATTGTTAACTTTTATTTCAACGAAATGTTTGAAATGAGGAAATCAACAGTGCATCCTTCTACTTATATGTCCTACTTTAATAATATGATATTGCGTGAATTTTTTACATTTTCCATAAATTTCACCTGAAAGCCAAAATCCCCAACTTTTTGTGAGTGGTGTAAATCCCATGTATTAGAATGGAGACCGGTGACTAATATAGCAAAGCATCCAATATATGTACAGTAAGTATTCCCACCTACAGACTTTTGTCAAACGGAAATTCCCTCACCCGGAATAAAAACCTCTGCATTAAAATTTCGACTACGATATTACATTAATGATCGATTCATAACAACGGAAGTTCCAGGACCCAGACCCCGTAAGCCATACGGAAGCCCGCAGTAGAACAAACTCAAGCAAGTCCCGCTCGATACGACTGAATAACTGGCCGCGCCGCTATTTACTCTCGTTGGATCCAAAACGGTGACATGTAAGTGACTACTGGCAGAAGATTTAGTGGAATCGCGAAAGGTTTTCTATTTCATTCATTTACTTTCACATCCTGTTGATCGTGCCATCCAAACGAAGAGCAACGATAATGACCGTGGAAGAGAAACTGAAATGCATCCAATTAGCTGCTCAGAGTAAATTGCTTGTGGCTCGATAGACAGTCGAGTAAACAAACGTTTCCTGGAATGCTTTACCTGTTATCGTGCTTACAAACCTTCCGCTAACTGGACCGCTAATTAGAGAGAAGGCGAGTTCTCTGGGCATAGAGGACTTCGAAGCATCCCGTGGCTGGCTTCAAAAGCTCGTTGCACGACATCAGCTGAGCAATGCTGTCTTGTGTGGTGATCGAGGGGAGGTAAAGTTAGAGAGAGCAAGTGAGTTGAAAGAAAAGCTACCAGGTCTGTTACTAATCTCATTTTGTTGTAACTGTATTTTGTTCATTTACCTGTATTATATGCTGCAGTTTGTGTCTTATAAGCAGTTTTTGGACCATATATTTTTGCATTTTATTGCTTGTGTTGGACACATTTATTTTCTTAACATGCTTGCATGTTTATAAAGGACATGTACCGTAGGAAAGATTGAATGATGCAAACACGATTCCTTACTAGAGAATACTTACCTGTTTTTTTCCAATGGCTAAATTTTTCAGTTGCAGCTTGAAATCAGGTGTGCTTAATTGTCAGGGAATTTCGGAATGTCTTTTCAAAGCTTTGACATGCAAATCATCTTTTCCTTAAAAAAAAGGCTCTCCCTTGCCCTCATACATCATAGCCCAGACATGTGTCATTGTGGACATTAAAACAAATCCATTCATTTCTCTGAACAACTTCACTATTCCGGACCATAAAATACAACCATCTAGGTGTAAATGGGCTGTCACTTATATAGTGCTTTTCTACCCTTGGTACTCAAAGCGCTTCACACTGTTTCCTGATTGACCTACTGATGACGCAGCATGAGGAGCAACTGGCGTTCAGTATCTTGCTCCAGGATACTTCAAAAAGGTCACAGTGGATTGAACCCCCAATCTCTGGGTTGGGAGACGACAACTCTATAACTGAGTCATGCTGCCCCAGGATGTCTGATGGAATACATTGTTTGTCTATGGCACATTTGTAAAAGTAACATGTTTTATGCAGTAACATGTCAAATGTGTAATGTGTGAAGAAATTTCTAACCTCACTATCTCCTTTACTTTATGATCCTAGTTCAATGTAAAGCCAAATTCCGGTCTCCCAGTTTCCATGTTGATGAAGTCATCCAACTCCAGGTGTTGGTGAGAGCTGACTGTCCTAATCCTGTGTCATTCACCAAACTGGCTGTCACCCTGAGCAATCAGGTACTCGGTTAAAATGCAAAAAATGTATCTGCACTTTCTCTGATCACACAGTGAATACAAATGTGATCACAAAGGGTTCACTGTCAATAAAATGGCAATTCTTCATCATTCGACTAATACTCCTCCAGTCACCTTTTTTGTTTTGTTTTATTTCTATATTTTCTATTGAACATTTAGGCACACATAATGACCTGACAATTAGACAAGTTCAAAACAGTAGGGGACAAGGAACAGATATGGGGCAAAGTAATAGTCACTATCCTGTGAAAAAAATGTGTGGCCATTTTTTTTTGGGGTTGTTTGTGTTATGCAGATTTGTTAGGGAAGGAAAACGTTTTGGTTTTTTTCCATCACCTTACCATGTTGGAGAGGTTTGTGTGACCCAATGAACCGAGGAAGCAAAGTTTTCTGGGGCTTTATGCCCCTGGCAGTCACCCATTGCAAACAGGTCTGTGGTGAGGAACCAGAATAAGCACGGATCAAAAGACCTCTTTTGATGAGTCCAATATATGGACCTAAGTTTCGCTTGCCTAGACGCGGGTCACCGGGGCCCTTTCGTGGAGCCAGGCCTGGAGGTGGGGCTCACTGGCACGCGCCTGCTGGCCTGGCCTACACCTATGGAGCCCGGCCGGGCTCAGCCCGAAAAGGCAACGTGGGTCCCCCTTCCCATGGGCTCACCACCTAAAGGAGGGGCTGAAGGGATCGGGTGCAATGTGAGCTCAGCGGCAGCCGAAGGCGGGGATCTTGGCAGTCCGATCCTTGGCTACAGAAGCTAGTTCTCGGGACGTGGAATGTCACCTCTCTTACAGGGGAAAGAGCCCAAGCTGATGTGCGAGGCAGAAAAGTTCCGACTAGCCTTTAGGGTGCGGGGACGGGTCCTGACAATTGTTTGTGCTTATGCACCAAACAACAATTCAGGGTACCCACCGTTTTAGAGTCCTTGGAGGGGGTGCGTGAGCGCCACAGGGTGTGTTCCAAAGGAATCACACACCTTGGCCTTTCTGGTAAGATCTATTTAGGGCTGTTGGAGAGGAAGGTCCGTCAGGAAGTTGAGTCTCAGATTCAGGAGGAGCAGTGTGTTTTTTTTATTTTATTTTTTTTTATGTCCTATCATTTGGAACAGTGGACCAGCTCGACACCCTTGGCAAGGTCCTCGGGGGTGCATGGGAGTTGGGCCAACCAGTCTACATGTGATTTGAGGACTTGGAGAAGCCGTTTGACTGTGTCCCTCGGGGAGTTCTGTGGGGGGTACTTTGGGAGTATGGGGAGCCCCCTAATATGGGCTAGTCGGTCCCTACAACACAGATGTTTGGTTTGGTTCGCTTTGCAGGCAGAAAGTTGGATTTGTTCCAGTGAGGGTTGGACTCCACCAAGGCTGCCGTCTGTCATCGATTCAGTTCATAAACTTTGACAGGATTTTGAGGCAAAGTCGAGGTGTTGAGTGGGTCGGGTTTGATGGCCTCAGTATTGCATCTCTGCTATTCACAAATGATGTGGTGCTGTTGGTTTCTTAAAGCTGGGATCTCTTAACTCCCACAGGAGCAGTTCACAGCCGAGTCTGCAGCAGTTTGGATGAAAATCAGCATATCCAAATCTGAAACAATGGTCTTCACTCATAAAAGGGTGGAGTGTCCTCGCCGGGTGGGGGATGAGATCTTGCCCCAAGTGGAGGAGTTTAAAGTATCTTGGAGTCTTGTTCACGAGAAAGGGCAGAATGGAGCGGGAGATCGACAGGCAGAGTGGGAGATCAACAGGTGGATATGTGCGGTGTCTGCTCTGATACAGACTTTGTATCGGTCTGTCGTGGTGAGGAAGGAGCTGAGCCAAAGGGTGAAGCTCTCTATTAACTGATCGGTCAACGTTACACCCCAACCGATGATGAAGAGTCGCGATGAGGAGTGAGTTGAAGATGAGAATAAAGGTAAATGTAGGGTGGGAAACAACTAGTGTCGTCTTCTGTGTTAAAAGTGATAGTAGCCCATGGAAATCATGTCAGGTTCCTCTTCTTCCCAAGTGTACTACTGGTTGTCTTTCAAACAAGCTACGTAGTGCTTATAAGATCTTTTCTGTAGGAGAACATAGTCTTTGGGCTGGTTAAGCACTTTTCTCTGGGAGTGGGCCACCAGGTGATGGTGAGGCTCCTAAACAGGTGTCAAACATTCTCACTGTGATGCTCAAGTTTTGCTTTTCAATGCGTTTTGATGAGGCATATAAGACCATTTTTGACTCACAAACTGCAATCCTAAACTGCTTATTTCCAGCCTTGCAACCTCCAGATTAATGGCGTCAATGGTACGCATTGTTAACATCGACCATGAATAATCCAGGATTGAATTCTCTAGATCAGGGGTGCCCATTACGTCGATCGTGATCGACCAGTAGATCAGGGACTGGTCCAAAGTCGATCCGAGGGGTGTAGAGGAAAAAAAAAACAAACATTTGTGTCTCTGTGCATGTTAGTAATATTTTTTGTATTAATGCACACTGCACCCTAATCATTCTATCAGTCTCACTTTCACAAAAAGTATTTAAAAAAGAAAATGAAATAAAGCAGGTCATCTTTAACCTCCGGTGGCATGTGACTGCATCACCGGAAGTTGTTAGCGCTCAGCAGTCTGCAGTTGCAGCTTGTGAACAGAGTTGTTGCGCTATATACTTTTTATCGTTATCATTATTCACATTCAGAGTTTGTTTTGTACAATTCACCGAGGGGATGGGCAAAGAATGGGAATCTGGAGGGCCGAGAGAAGCGTTTTAAAACGGTACGCGTGAGCTACGATCGTTAATAGGCTGCAAAAGTGCGTCGTATGTCTCAGCGGCAGGCTGTTGCTCATCATGGCATGCGTGTGTACGTACGTGCGTGCGTGCGTATGCGCGCGTGCGCGGGAACGGGTCGATCCCGGGAAGTTGGTTGATTGAAAAGTAGATCTTCGGTCAAAAAAGTTTGGGCACCCCTGCTCTAGATGAAAGCTCACCTTTGTTTGGCAGTGTTTTAAGCCAGATGTGCTGCATTTATCAGGGCTTGGGCTGCATTTGAGCTGTACTGGGACCCTAAGTATAGTGCAAAGAAAAATATTTCGTGATCAGACAAGCTTGTAGGGAGGATGAATGTTTTTTTTTTGTTTTTGTTTTTCAGGACCCTATTGTATGAAATGGAATGGGATGTTGGAGGTAAGGTTTCAGGGAGGTTTGTTAAGTCAAGTCAAGTCAGCTTTTATTGTCAAATATTCTGTATGTGGAACATACAGCACAGATGAAATTACTTTCCTCTCTCAACCACAGTGCAAAAATGTAATGCTAAAATTCATGTTAAAATGTATTAATATGTAAAATAAAAATAAATAAACAAATAGCAACAACAGACAACCAAGGGCACTTGTGATTATTGTATACAGTAAATATTCTCTAGTGCGCACTCGTGTTTGCGCTGTCCAATTTGTCCTGATAACAGAAATTCCTCATTTGGGAAATGAGCATGGTACATGTCCTTTATGAACCTGCAAGTATGTTGACAAAATGCACGTGTAACAACACAATCAATAAAATACAAAAATATACTGTCCAAAAACT